GCTTACATAAAGTATATTAATCCAAACATAAATAAATATTTTAAATCAATTTGCAAAAAAAGAAAGAATCGAAACTAGAGCTCTTGGCATTGGGAGCATGGCTTACTATACCCCACCTACCATGGATCTGCCAGTGGAATTTAGAGAAGTTAGTGTTAAGCACTGTTTTACATTGTCATTTTGAGGCATCCTTTTTTCATCATTTTCTGTACAGAGGAAATGGATGTAAAAAGGACGTACGGTATCTACGCGTTATGTTTACGGTATCGAATTGATAAAAGTCATTCCAGCGATTTAACATGATCATTTTCCGGTCTTCTTATACGTAACCGTAATGCAAACACTTCCACTGGACGTCCACAAAAAAGCGCTGAAGATCAAACATTAGTATATCGCCATCATGGTAACAAATCAAGTTACGTTATATTTTGGACTGAGCAGGAAGCCTGGTGACATTTAGAACAGAGTACAGATTTGATTTACCCTTCCCCTACATAATCACATAATTACGGATACGAGTAAAACTCTCGACGAGAAATAGAATGGAAGCAAACCCAAACTTCAACCGACTATTAGTTTTAGAAAACACCACGCCAAAAATATTGCTGACCCGAATTCAGAAAAACATTTCGTGAACAAAAAAGAGAAAATTTAAAATCGTCGCCTCTTTTATAAATCACGTATTGTAAGACAGTTCCTATATACTACAAAATCAATCGAGCAAACCAGACATCAATCGAAAATTAGTTTAAGAATACACAGAAAAACAAAGATTTGGACCGAATTAAAGAAAATTTCGTAAAAAACAAATGGCAAAAATTAATTTCGTCGCTTTCTCTCTGAAACCACGGTTACGAGTATAACTCTCGACTAGAAATTCAAACAGAAAACCATACTTTAATCCCGACTATTAGTTTACGCATGTACGCGTGAAAACCAAGTTGTGCACCGAATGCAGACATTTAAGGGAAAAAAAATCGTGCGAAGAAAAAAACTAAAATTCCGTCCCTACTCTCTGAAATCACGGATACGAAGTACAACTTCTGACAGAAAATTCAATGGCTAGGAGACCCCATTTTCAAATCCCGACTAATAGTTTAGAAATACACTCCGAAACAAAGTTATTCGCCGAATTCAGACATTTAGTGAAAAAAATAGGGGAAAACATAAATTAAATCGCTGTCTCTGAAATAACGTATTGGAAACCGTTCTAGACGAGAAGATCAATAGCGCAAACCGAGACTTCCCTCGTCTATTAGTTTATTGAAATACACGAGAAACAATATTGTGCCTGAATTCAAAAAAATTGCGTTTGAAAAAATTGCAAGAAAAATTGAAATAGCGTCCATTATCTCTTGAAATCACGTATGTGAGCTACCGTTCTAGACGAAGAAATTCAAATGGAAGCAAACCAGACTCCAATCCGTCTAGTAGTTCATTGAAAATACACGGAGAAACAGTATTGTCCTGGATTCAGAAAATTGCAAAAAAATTGCCAGAAAATTAAATTCGTCCATTATCTCTGAAATCAGGGTATGTGAGTACAGTTTTAGACGAGAAATCCAATGGAGAAACCAGACTTCAATTCGTATCTAATTAGTTTACGAAATACACGAGAAAAACAATATGCTGCTTTGAATTCAGAAAATTAATGAAAAAAATTGGAGAAAAAAATTAAATTCGTCCATCTCTCTCTTACATCACGCATGACAGTACAGTACTAGACTAGAAATTCAATAAAGTAAACAAGATTTCAATCCGAACAATTAGTTTAAAAATATACTCGTGAAATAAAATTTTGCATGAATTCAGCAAATTCGTGAAAAAAAAAAGAAAAAAAGTAAAATCTCTCGCCATTTCCTCTGCATTCACCGTGACTGTGAGTGCAGTTCTAGACGAGAAGATTCAAGGAGCAAACGAACTTCAATCCGACTACCCTAGTTATAAGAAAATACATTTGAAATAAAAGTTATCCCGAATTCAGAATTTAGTTGCGAAAAAAGGAAAAAAATAATTTAGACTCACAGGTTTTCCTCTAAAAAAGGTACCTTCCCACTAGCGGGGCACCGCCCCAGCCGGGCCAAAGCTTTAATTTCCCCCACTGGCCTCCGACAATGTGTGGTAGAGGAGGATTATGTGTGTGTGTGTGTGTTGTGTTGTGTTGTGTTGTGTGTCACATGTGTGTGGTGTAAGAGGTGTAAGAAGTGAGGATATGGACAAGAAAGAGGAAGGTAAAAACGCGCGCTGGTCCTAGAATACACCCCCAGAACAACGGCTGAATCGACTCCCTTCCCTAAAAAGTTTAAAAACTTTAAATCTTTTTAACTGCCATGGTCAAACAGTCCCGGATGTTCGTAAGTAACCATTGTAGTATTGCCAGGATTTGGCGGTGTCCTTTCTCTGATTGAGGTGCGCAAGATTGGCAGCCGAACTACGCGTTGGCTTGCAGTGTTCCTCACCTCCAGATATTTCCCTTAGTGGGAGCACCGCATGGTTAGAGTCGGTGCACATGTGTGTGAGAATAGGTCAAGGAAAGGAACGGAAAATAGCGCGCGCATCCGTGGCCCGTTGGTTAGTTTCTGCTGTGGCATTCACCTGGTGTTGATCGTCGAGAAGAAACCATTGAAATAACATCCGATCAGAGCAGAGAAACTGCAGAGATATCTCCTCAGAAAGCGAAAAATTCGACTGATTTGCTCGAGAAAATCAGAGTTGAAGTTGACACGTTCATACATGATGTTAACGTATTGGTGGAGCGCGACTACTAAGCTTTAAAGAAGTGGATAGAGGGAAGGGAGAGAGGGGTAGAGGTGAGAGAGGTTAGAGGGAGGAGGGGTAGAGGAAGAGAGGGAGAGAGGTAGAGGGAGAGAGGGTAGAGGAGAGAGCGGGTAGAGGTAGAGGGAGAAGGGTAGAGGGAGAGAGGGGTTAGAGGGAGAGTGGGGGGAGGAGCGACAGTGGGGGAGAGCGACAGTGGGGGAGTGCGATAGTGGGGGAGTGCGATAGTGGGGGTGAAAGAGTGGGGGAGAGGGAGAGAGAGTACAAGTTAGTAGAAAAAAATAAGTAAAGGCAAGTCATCCAGTCAAAAATATAAAACTAGTGACACTACAACACATTTCTTCTTCTTGCGTTATTTGTAACTTTTGCAACTGTCAAAAATTCAAAGATTTTATAATTGTTATTCACTATTTTAAATAGCCTCCAAACACTCCCTTGTTGCCAAACCCTTGTTATTTGCAACCCTCTTATTTCGCTACATTTGAGAATCGTTCTTAATAGGTGATCGTTGAGGTGCAAACATTATACTCTGCACGGCGAACCGAACATATTCATTGCATGCCACCGGCACATGCCTGATTTGGCGTTCCTCGGCTGCAGTTTCATTGCATATTTGTATCTAAAGACAGTTGCTGTAGCGATCGGTTGGGTTTGAGGCGTTGCATTGTCTATAAAAAAATCTGCATTTCAGAAAGTCACATGCAATGCAGCAGCAGAACATGTGTCTGACGAAATGCTGGTGCGGCGGAGCGCATGCGAAGTGTCGATCATCGCAGCGCGCACTTAAACCCCGAAGGAGCACGCGTATTTATTATTTCGCGACCTCTGGAGCCAAACATCCGTCCGGCGACGGCGCCGCACACGCGACCTTCGCCTTCGGGCGGAGCAGCGACGCCGATGACGCATCCGCTACTATACGAAATCCTACTCCCTCGCCCCCCCCCCCCCGGGGCGGGCCGACGTCGGCGGGCCTCGCCCCGGCCCGCCCGCCGCCCCCCGGACTTCCTGCGTCCCCGCCCCCCCCCCCCGGCCGACTCCTTGCCCCCCGACTCCTTGCCCCCCCCAAGCTCCTCCCCCCCTCCCACGCTCCTCGCCCCCCCCCCGACTCCTCGCCCGCCCCCCCCGAACTTCCTCGCCCCCTCGACCCCCCCCGACTCCTCGCCCCCCTCCGACTCCTCGCTCCCTCCCTCCCGACTCTCCGCCCCTCGCCCCATCGCATCCTCGCCCCGCCTCTCCGCGTTGACTCTCTCCCGCCCCGCCTCCCAAAGCCCCGAATTGCTCTGAACTGCACTGCTCAGCCCTGACCTGCCTTATCCAATTCAGCACCGCCCAATTGCCTTCGCGCCGTCCCCAGTCTGCTTAGCCCTGCTCCGCCCTCCTTACCCTTCGCATTCAGCACTAACCATACTTCTCGCGAGCCCCCCGCACCACATCGCCCCTCACCCCAAACAAGCCTGTGCAGCTCTGCCCCTCCCTTCCCCACCCCACCGGTCCACACAGCCCAACTATTCCCCGCCGCTCGGCCGCCCTGGCCCCGCTTGCGGCTCGCGTTCTGCGCATGCGCGATCCACTATCGCTGAAGCATCTTGTGTTTATTGCTGCGTTTGGAAAGTGACCAACTGATCCAGCGATGAGTAACTCGCTTCCGGTTCTGCAAGTGCCCTGGTTTCTCTCCTATCTCATCTCCACTATCAGGGACGTAGACCGACCTCCCAGCTACTAATTTTACTGCCTAATAAGTTTACTGACAATATTTCCTAAAATTATCGTGCGAGTAATAATACTAACTAGACTACACTCTTTTTAACTAATAGGAAAGCCAATCCAGATTTCCAGGTTGGATTTAAAGCCAAGCACTCAACAACGCGTCAACTCCTGAGAATTAAAGAAACTTTAAAAGTATTCACCATTGTCCCTGGAAAACTAAATGTAGTTGAACAGTAAGAACCCAGAAGCCAACTCTTACAGTGTTCCTCGAAATTATTCAGCAAAACGATTGGGCAGGCACGCAGTCAGGCATGCTGTAGAAAATGCCTAAACTAAGAGTTCAGAAAACAATCGAAAGTTCAATGGTACGAATTAATGTTACATCAGATCCACATGCTATTCCAGATGGAGAACCATAGGGGTAGCTGCTGTCCTCCACCCTATTGGACATATTCACATACGACACAATCCCAGCAAAGGTGATTTAAATATTGCCATGTAAGAAAATGACACTGTATTTATGAATCATGGTATACCACAAGAGTATCTCCAAAACAACCTAAACTTATATTTAAATGGGCTGACAACTGGTGAATTAAAATAAATATTTAATATAATTATCCAGATTCTATTGTTAACTCATTGCCCCGGGCCTGTGTCCGAGTTCCGCTCTTTGCCGTGGTCGAGAGTGTCGCAGAGCGCCACCTGCGGTCCTCTCTTCCACGAGTCGCAGGGATCTTTCTCGTTGCAGTGGCTGCTCCCAGGAGGGCAAAATCAACGAAAGACACGTCCTTTAATAATTTGCTTCAACGCAAACCAAAGAAAAGATGCGTTCAAGTGTTGCCTTTTCCTCAAAGAGAGTAATTGCCCTTTGCAATCGTCTACTCTCTGCGGATAATCGGACCCGGCAGGCAGATGACAGACGATGCCGATCTCTGACCGCTCTCATAAAGAATGAAGAGCTATATTTTAGCAGACTTTTTAATAGTGTATCCTTGAAGATATGAAAAATGAACCTCGCGAAGATTGTCCATTACTGATACTGTCATCGTAACTTGGATCTCGCTGAGTTGCAGGCAAAGTGATGTGCCCTATGCGAATATTTCTCCCAACGCGACGTCAGCGCCCGGTCTCGTGCGGATCGAACGCTCCGCAGCGCAACGGCGGACGGTGCGTTCACAACTTGGGGAGCCCCAGACAAATTCAAGCACGGAATCATATTGTGAAAACGAAAGCCAATCACCTATGGTTTACTGGTAAACTGTCATTGGCGACATTACAATTTTTTTAATAACATTTCTCTTCTATTAGGACTACTTCTTCTCAAAAACGGTATTTCCAATAAAGATTGTATGCTGTCCACTGAAATCCTGGGACTGCCACGCAATGGATCCATCGCATCCACTGCCTACGACCGCAACACGCCATCACATGAGGAGGCCAAACGCGCGAGAGCCTCGGTGTCAAACCAAATCCAAAGCTGGACGAAACGAAACTATGCTTTTCTTATTGCTTAAGGGACATTGTCATGGCAACAGGGTAGGCGCGCTACAGCTTCGGACGCCGGTACCCTGCGGGCACAAGGAGTGCTAGTACTTGGTGGTGCTATGTGAAACGCATGCTTGACTACATCTTGAATTGTAACGCTATGTTTGCAGCAAGAGAAACGATTTCTTTTAAATGTTAACTCGCCAGCCGTAAACAATTATATCAATTGTAGATGAAGTTAATTCTAACAATTTTTAAATTAAAAAAGAAATGTATCGTATAGTGCTGTTAATCAATTTTGTGGGGAGGCCTGACCTCCCTTGCCTCCTGAAAATCCCCTACTGTCTCAGCGAACCCTCCGTTGGCTCCTCCCTCGCCCTACAGCTACATTTACATGCCAACAGTAAAAAAGTAATTTTAGGGGTAATAAATTAACAATTAAATAAACCAACTTGTTTATGTGATTTTTGCCAGCTCGACACGTCACTACCCCGGGCCACCGAAGGTCACTTGGCACACATACAAAATTGCAAATATTGAATTTTATTGCGTTTGAAAACGAAATGATATACTAGATATTGTTAATTTCAATTTGAAAAAGATTATTGAAGTTAAAGATCTTCCCATCAATGAAAGGCATTTTAAAGAAACAAATAATCTTAGACTGTTACACTTACGAAATCTCAATGTTTATTTATTTCGATATAGTTCTGTGTAAAAATGCTTCTGATTATTAAAAATAAAGTATTATTTTCATTTATCATCATCGTATTTACGATTATAAGTTTTACATTTATACCAATAATATTTTGATGGTTGAAGAAATTCCCTAAAAGGATTTGGTTTCCTAATAAAAAAACCTATTATTCAAATTCATAAAAACGTATGTAGTCAATATGCTTGAGTTGAGCAGAACACACACTACATCTTTTATAATTTCAATTGCTATGATTCAATTATGAGTGTATTCACATTATTTGTCGATTTTGGATTTACAAAAGAGACAATGTGTTCCGTTTTAGCATTATGACTAGGTACATATAATCAAAACATCATGAACTATTGTAGTTCAGAATGACATGGATAAAACTAGAAGTGGCATTCCTAGTCTCTGTCTCTGAGGTTTGTTGCCTCCCTTTATGAAATTTACGGTATTTACAACAATTTTCATTGTCTAGCTGAGCCTTTTAATTTTTCCACAGATCCTGTTAGATAATGCAATGGAAAAACATACAATGTATGCCTTTTCTTTACAAACTATTACTTAGCTTACTAACCCATTTCTTTGACAAACTTTTGCTTAGCTCCATCCGTTGCAATACCAGACCACTTTCCACACCCTTCATATTTTTAAATAATGAAATATTTACTCCTAGAAGTATCCTGCGCCTTGCGTACGTTGATACCTTTGATGCTGATTTTTACTTCCACTGTTCTTCATGAATTTCAAATTCGTTTATTGTTCTGAGAAAGGTAAGGATCTGGTTGGTGTCATCTATATACGTATGTACTGTGATTTTGAGCTAGAGAGTAAAATACATATTTTTACAAAAACCTTTTGTGAGTTTCGGAAACGTTACTATCCACATCATTAATTCTTCTACTTACAGTCTAATAAAACAAGGAAATAGTTTCATAATTTTTATACGTCTCATTATCTCCAAACGAAGACGTCATTTTTATAGCGATCCTTTAAAGAGCTCACCATCACGTAGATACATCTAAACATATCTCATAAGATGCCTTCAACTAAATAGTGTTTGATGGTTGCTGAAAGATATTCTTTTGTCTGGTTAGTTTCAGTCTCAAATCATTACACACATGACTCCTGGAACTTCTTCGGGGGTATTGGTTGTATTTTGATTTACGCACGCTGGCGTAGTGTCTAATAACTTCTCTGAAACACAAAATTTATCCCATTTCCCCATTATGCGCAACTGTTCAACTGTTTCATCACTTACACTGAAATGTTTGTTTCTCATTATCAGACTGCACGAAAAGAAGTTAAAATGGATGCTTGCTCGTCACGGATTATAAAGGTCGAGAGTAAAACTTACTATCGAGGTATCCGTTATTGGAACATTGGGGATAGTAAGGTGCTGACATATCTGTGAATGAACTGATTGATTAATGGTTTGATTGATTAATGTTTCTGGGCTCGTCAACTGCTAAGGTGACTAGTCCCGTAAGTGTTGTGCATGTTTTTATCACCAGAGATGGCGGTGATCTTTCCCCGCTGGATGGCGAAATCCGGCACCGACCTACACTCACGGGTATTTTCTCCAACCAGCGAGGCACAACCTCTCACGGATATCTCCCACCAGCGAGGCACCGTCCCAGCCGGGACAAACTCTAAGCTCTCGACCGATCTCCCGACATGTAGAGTATATTGGCTGTAGAGTGCAGTCTGTGTAAGTAGGGGTTGAGATAGGACAACTGCGAGGCACCTCCCCAGCGTCCCATCCCTTGATCCGCACCCACTTCCCTCTACAGCCCCACGCCCTTTGAATCTTAAAATGGAGTTTCTCCCTTAATTTCAAACCCTGCTTGAAATGGAAAGTCTACACTGCTATTTGGAACAATAGACGTTTATAGCGATACTTTTACGATGGCCTGTTTGAAACCTATTTGCCGCGTCTGGGCAGACGGAATCAACAGATGCACACAATGTAGCAGTTTCACGCAGGTGACGGTGCCTTCTCCAACCAGACGGCTCGTTGATAATTCGACCAAACGCAACCTACGGACTATACTTAGTTATTTTATTCGTATTTTACTACGATTTAGCTCTCTACTAATATAGCATACGGATAGTATAGTAAAAAGTTATTTTTTGGCCGGTGCGTGGGGTGCAACCGCCCCGCCCCCTCCCGCTCCTTAAGGCCCCTAAGCGTCGCCGGCGTCTCCCTCCGCCCACGGGAAGAAGCACTTGGCGGCGGGCGGCTCGACCTCCGTGGGCGTCCTGAAAGGCCCACCCTGCGCTCGTTTGTCTGCATCCGCCTGACAGCCGCAGCCCCCGCCCAGCCCCAGCCACCGCCACACGAATTGAGCGATCCATTGCGCTCATTGGGGACTGGCCCTCTTCATGTGACGAGGCTACTTCCTTTCACGTCAATTGCGTCTGACAACTCGGAACAAAGTACGCAAGCGAAAATCATGAAACAACAATAGAATATGTCGCGTATCTTTACGTGCGACTTTAACATCTAGGTCATTAGCGAAAATGTAAATATCTTTACTGGTTCTTAAAAATCAATTATTTTCAATTGTTTACTTCGTAAAGTTTTCATTAGTAATTCCTCTAGATCCTTATCCAAACTACCTGACCTCTCCATACATAATTCTGCATTGTTCCGTCTCTAAGTATCGTAATGCGGTCTTGACACCTTTCAATGCCTCATGCACTGTTGGAATAACGTCCTATCTCTAAAGGCTCTCTTATTCGTATAATAACACACGAATTCCAATTAGTTTCCAGGACTATTTTCAACGATCAGGTTCACTATAACTGAATTGTTAATGCTCATTTGTAATGTAAGTGAAACGGAACTAGTGATATAAGTTCACTATAACCGAGGCTTTACTATAACCAGAGTCGCCTGTATTTCTTTTCTACTATTAGGACACTCAAAAATTGAGAAAATTAAAAAAGAACTTTGGGCGGCGATAGTATGGCCATTTTGCTGACAAGAGTATGTGGCTGGCAAGGCCAAAATGGCAAAAGTATGTGGCAAGTCCGAATAGGTAGCACACGTCAAAGAAAATAGAAAACTAATACAAGAAAGTCTATGCCTCTAGTTAACTTCTGCGGTTGAAATTCGTAAGCAGCCCAGAGCGTGGGCAGGGAGGGGTGAGAGGGGGCGACTCACAGGTGTCCTCGGCGTGCACCCAGTGCGAGGGCAGCGCGGCGTCGGGCACCGCCCACGTGATGTTGCCGCACAGCGCCTCGGCCGCCGGGTCATCGCTGAAGGCGTACGTGAAGTTCATGGACACCTCGAGGCGCTCGGCCGGCATGGACAGCTCGGCGCGCATGCAGCGGTACGCCAGCGCCTCCTCCGAGCTGGCGTAGTACTGCACCACGAACCACCGCCCCAGCAGCTGCAACAACCACCATGCGCCGTTCAATAAAAAAAAAACAATATTTCAAACACGACTAACGGCAGATGGTAGCTACTTGGCTGTGCGGGAGACGCCGCGTCCTAGGCACAGGTGTCAACGGCCTGGGTCAAATGCCAGGGGCTCATAGGACTTTGCCCTGTGGAAGGTCGCAGAATGGCGGCCGAGACGTTGGTACCTGGGCCTAGGACGCCGCGTCTCCCAGACAGCTACGTAGCTACTGGCTCCGACCACGGAATCCTCACGCTCTTAATGGCAGATGGCCTTCCGGTCAAACCTTCAGACCTTATGGGATGTTTTATGATTTTCTACATCCGAATCCAGCCGAACCTCTTGCCTTGGACAGTGTATAAAAATATTAAAAGGTGTACGGAAAGGTAATGCACGATCCGAAAGATTGATTATTTCGCGTTTTCGAGCGCGTCAACTGCTGTAGTCCTCAAGTTCCGTAAGTGTAGTGCACTCTTTACTTGAAGGGTGGCGGTGTACTTCCCTCACGGTATGGTGAGATCAGCGCCGACCTACAAGTCGGCTTTCATGATTTCCCCAACCACGTATCTCCTATCAGCGGAGTCCCGTCCCATCCGGGCAACGCTCTAAACTTCCGACCGGTCTCCCGGCATGTGTGTAGTGCATATATGTGGATGTAAGGAGTCAAGGAAAAGGAAGGAAAATCACCAGCGGGCAGCGGCCGCTTTGTTAGTGTTCTGCTCTGGCATTCGCCTGGTGTTGATCGGAAAAACCACGGAAAACTATCGATCATAGCAGCCGCGATTCGAAATAGCAGTACCCACTCTGCAACTGCTTGGTGTGTGGTTTGATACGATTTGATATCTTGAA